CTGTGCAACTGATACTCGACTGCCATTGGCTCATCTGCGTTCGAGGGGAGGAGCTTACCGATAGGTCAATTATTGTGTGAAAAGAGGATTTTCTTTGCTTGGTGTTCCAAAAAGAGTTTGTTGTGTCACTAGATGAACATAGTTATGGTGTTATGGGTTAGGCAGTGTTTGTACACCAGACATTTTAATGCTTCTTTTGTAGCAGGTCTGGAACACCTGAACGACCACACAAGCAGAGAGCTAAAATTATGGTTTACCTAGCTTTTAACAAACCTCTATTTATCATGGGACCTCATGCTGAGAAGATTAATTGTATAATGATTTCCTGTGAGAAAGGACTGCATTACATGATAAACCTTCATGTTGAGAAATCAACGTACAGGGTCTGCCTTAGTAGCACATTAAGGACACCAGAGGCTTAACGAGGGGCAGTCTGACTAGATGTCTGTGAATATCATTGGATCACACTTTAACAGTGGGTTTGGTCTCCTTCTGCTTAAAGTATCTAGCCTGTAGTACATTAACATTGTACTATTCTAGTACTCAACTGGAATTTTGGTACAGTAGCACTAATTTATTGTGTTAAGGTTTGGATTTATGGCTTCTGCATTATATGATTTATAAGTCTAAATTGATCAATGTAAATGTAGTTAAGTTTTTTCTGCAGTTCTTTTTATGTTTAATAGGCTTTTATACTGTATATATTTTTATACTTTATATGAAATAGAGTTTAATTGGTTTATATATAATGTATAAAATTAGCTTGTTTATTGTACACTCCTGCTGAATAGTTTAGGGTCTGTAAGATTTTTTTTATGTTTTTGAAAAATACCTCATTCACCAAGGCTGCATTTATTTAGTCAGTAATATTATGAAATGTTATTACAATTTAATCCTGTGATGTAAATACTGGATTTTCAGCAGTCTTCAATGTCACGTGATCCTTCAGAAATCATTCTAATATGCTGATTTGCTGCTCAAGAAACATTTATTTTTTGCAATTTTGTAAACAGCTGTGCTGCTTCGAATTCTTTATGTAATTGATTGGTCTTTTTGAAAAGTGAATTGTAATTGTTTAAGATTCGGAGGCTTTGTGTGTGCTGTGTGCCTTGCCCTCATTTTGTTTGATTATGTGTCTTGGATTGTTGCTGTGCAAAGCCAGCCTGCGAGTGCAGCACTATAAAAAGGGTAGCCCATACCTGTCAACGGTTGCCATGGCAAACCTCGCAAAGCAATAAGGGTCATATAATAATTGGCTAGCCACATGTTACATTTGAATTGCAAAATGTTACAAGAATCAATATCATTATCACCTCAGCTTCCCGTCTATGGCCAGCTTCTGCTCTGATCTCCATTCTCAAACAGTTCATTTTCCTCAGCCAGTAACTGAAGGACTCTTAAATGCGGAAGTGTTCTGACTGAGGCCATTAAATACATCGATTGGTCCTGCGTGTGGCACGAGTACAATCAGGTCTTTGTTCCTGGTACACTGTGTGTTCCTTAGTTATCCAGTGTCCTGTTGACAACCGACAACACGCCCCTGGAAATTTGCTCTGTCCAGTGTGTTTATCTCAGAGCTCTGAGATTCTTGGCATTGAGCTGGGGAGGATGTATCTTGGCTTTCTTTTTTTCATGTAGATATTTACACATACTCAGTGTTAAGTGAAAGCCTTGGGGCCGGGGACAGGGAAGAGGAAAGATGGTGTTCACTTTATATACCCATTCTTAGTCCTCTCCGGCTCCTGAACCAAGTCTGAAGACCCGCTGAGATGCCAGGGAGGAGAAAATGGACACTAAGAGGTCTTCTCAGGCCAGCGAGAAAGTGCAAATATTGATGTTTTTCTTGCGCGTTGACCAGGAAGTACTAAAGCCATGTGAGGAAGAGTGTGAAAAATGTTTTAAAGGAACAAGACCCCATATACACACAAATAAGGGCAACTTATGCCACATATGGTGACCACATGGTTGGACAGAATATAGAGTTCACTAAGTTTTATTGGCCAGCAGAAGAGCATGAATTGTCTGTTTATATGAAACTGTCCAATTCAATGCTTGATGCCCTGTAGTCACTGTAAATTTATGCCACAGTTTATGGAGTGGTAATGGATAAGTGTTTTTGTGATTAAATGTCACATTTATTTTTCAGATGTGTCACATTAGGATGTTTTGTTTGTGCAGACATGCTTTTTTTCTAGCATTAGCAAAAAACCGCACTAGGCATAGTGTGAGGTCTGTCTATAGGGATACACTAATTCCTGCAAATGTTTACATTTTTTCTCATGTGTATAGTGTGTTTCTGTACCTTGGACAGGCTTAAAAAATGAGCAGAAACTATAAACAATGACAACTTTTACTTTTAAAGGTGTGGTTTATTATTATTATATGTGACCCTGGACCACAAACCAGTCTTAAGTCGCTGGGGTATATTTGTAGCAATAGCCAAAAATACATTATATGGGTCAAAATTATTGATTTTTATTTTATGACAAAAATCATTAGGATATTAAATAAAGTTAATGTTCCATGAAGATATTTTGTACATTTCCTACTGTAAATATATTAAAACTTAATTTTTGATTAGTAATATGCATTGCTAAAAACTTCATTTGGACAACTTTAAAGGTGATTTTCTCAGTATTTAGATTTTTTTTTGCACCCTCAGATTCCAGATTTTCAAATAGTTGCATCTCGGCCAAATATTGTCCTATCCTAACAAACCGTACATCAATGGAAAGCTTATTTATTCAGCTTTCAGCTGATGTATATAAACCTCAATTTTGAAAAATTGACCAGGGTTACATATATTATATGCGGTTTATTCGATTTTAGAGTCAGAATTACTCGTTTACTACAATGAACCCTCACTTAGGATAAACAGCATCTCTCAACTGTGTCAGTTTCTGTTACTGTTCACCTTTGAACACCTGAATGAATTCAGTACTTAATGGTTTAAAATCCTTCCAGCAATATATAGTGCTCAGAAATCGATAATGCTAAAATAATGGCATTTTGAAGATGTCTTTGTGCTTTCTATGAACCAAATGACCTAAACGTGTATGAATGTAAATGTGTGTGAGCTAGTGCAGATATTCTCTCAGTCTGGTATCTTGTTATTTAGGTGTGACTGTGTGCTAGATATAAACACGGTATGTTTTCTCTCGTCTGTTGTTGTAGACTTAATAGGATCAGGGTGTCAGCTATAGAGATACCAATACTTTATTCCTGTCTAGAACATCTTAATAGCTCGCAAGCATGACACATTCTTCCTCCTTTTTCCATTCTTCCATTTTTCCAAGAAGGGAAGTAACATGTCTAGAAAGGACACTGCATTTGTGGATGTTTTGTGTCAAGGTTGCTCTGTCTACTATGAGCTGCTAACAGCTGTCATTCAGGGGAAGGGCAGCTGGTACTCTTTGCTCTTATAATAGAATCTACTCACTAGTTCTAGATGACCAGCAGAAGTCTGGGGTCACATGTAGGTTGCCAGTGTGAGACGTGAAGCTGATTATGGGTTAGGTCAGGAACTATTTATGTCTGGTGAGACACAAAAGCATGCCATTTTGTGTTTGACTAGATAACAACTTTGATTACAGGAAAAAGAATGTAGCCTGCTTTAAAAACTGTGAAATTATTTCGGATTTTGATTCATTAATGACTGCTAAATTTTATTTTAGTATTATATTTTAGACTTTTTGAATTAACTTTTATTTTTGTATTTTTCAGTTTTTCATTTGAGTTCCAATGTGCTTAATTTTGTCATGTGCTTTTGCCATATAATATTCAAATATGACTATTTATGTTTAATATATATATATATATATATTAGTTTTAGTTCAGTTTTTGTTTTTATTAATTCCAATTAGTAATTTTAGAGCTTCATTTAGTGCTTCAACTTATTTCAGGTATTTGCCAAGACAACATTTTCCTAATTTTCCTTTAGTTTAAACTTTAGTTTAATATTTTTATTTCAGCTTTGTTTCAAACATGTTTGTAATAATTTGAGAAGGTTATTATGGTTATTCTGTTAACCATATTAACATTCTAAGTTGTTTTTTAATTATGTAGCATTATTGCAGCATTGTTTTGAATGTTCTACAGAAGGCTATTTCAAGGAAATAGTCTTGGAGTCTATTAAATGTGAATGTATTTATAGGCAGCTTGAGTCAGTGGACGGATGAGAGAAAAAACATCCCAAATATTTTCATGTAATGTGACTTGGAATTTTATTTTATTTTTTGGCTGAAAACAAATGTGCAAAAATAGCCAGTCTGTGGTATGAAGAAGGTGGAGATTGAATAGATCCCAGATGGAAGGGAAGCTCTGACTTCCTGTCTTTGGCTGCAGGGCGGGATAATTGCAATGCAGAGACAGCGGGAGATAGAGGCTAAGGGTACTGTGGTCTTGTAATAGATATACGCCAAGAAAGGAAAGGTTAGAGAATACAAAAATGTCTCGGTGACCTATCACCTCAGATAAGTCTTGAGTAGAGCCAGTTATCTGTATTAACTCAAAACATGAATGTCATGTGGTGTGTTAAAAGCAGTGAGTGGATTTATGGTTGAACAATGCCGTAACCACAGCAAAATGGTTGAGTCCAGGATGTTTATTCACCTTCTGTTTAAGCACAGCTACTTAGATTTAAAGTATTCCCTGTTTATTTATTCGGTCCACTTGGATGAAACCAGAAATGTAACCAGTAAGAGTTCAGAGAGCAAGTGATCAACTTGCACTAAACAAAATTCTCCAGCTTCTGACATGGAACGGGAAAGCTGTGTGCATGTCCATATGCATTTTCGTCAGATATCATATCATTTGAGTGCATGCCAGTGTTTCCTGCATACAACAATGAACAACGCAAGCTGTCATGCAAACAAATCACTCTTATTAACTGGTTCTTTTTTAATGAGTCATTCAGAGGCACTATTGAGATCACAACTGACTCGCTCACTGAACCTCAAGTTATTTTTCAGTTACATACAATTGAAAATTAACCAGGAACTGTCTCTTTGTGTATTTAGGTCCATGTGACTTACACTAGTCACAACATGTAAGTAAGGATACATGTTCACAACAGGGTTTAATCGATTTTGTAATAGATTTTTTTTATTTGTTTAAAGGGGTCATATGACGTTGCTAAAAAGAACATTATGTTGTGTATTTGGTGTAATGCAATGTGTTTATGCGGTTTAAGGTTCAAAAATCACATTATTTTCCACATAATGTACATTATTGTTGCTCCGCTATGCCCCGCCTTTCTGAAACGCGTCGATTTTTACAAAGCTCATCGTTCTGAAAAGCGAGGTGTACGCTGATTGGCCAGCTATCCAGTGCGTTGTGATTCGCCGAATACCTCAAGCGTGTGACAGAAATGTTACGCCCCTTACCATACTGTGATGCCGTGTCCGGCCTCAGCAACGAGACAAAAACATTAAAACCCATTACAAACAAGGCATTTGTTGCGTCCAGTGGGGACATAATTACTGATTATAATGACTTATACTGTGTTTTTCCGCGTTGCGTTGTGTTGCGTATCGCGCCACGTAAACATAAAACCATGTCTGCATTTGTGATCGGAGAAACGACAAACAACAAGCACTACTCTACACTGCTCACGTTTAAATCATCAGTGGCAAATTCTTTAAATATAAAAAATTTACTTACAAGCTGTGAGTCAGAAGCGCCAGACTGTCCTTGCAAAGTTGGAACTGCCCCACTTTATAGAACAGCCTTTGAGCACAGACCCATTGTAGGCTATGCAGAACTGCAGATTCAGGAAACAGTCCTCCATAAAATGTGTCACATAGTGTCACACACGGCGGGCTAGAGTGAGCGGCAGCCGGCGGGCTTGAGAACGGCGCGTCCGGCGGATTCGACGAAGGAGCGTCCGGCGGGCTTGCGGCAACCACATGTGACGACCCCGGGCTGGACTCCGCTTCATCCACAGTGAAAGCCGATCCGGCGATCGACAGCGCGAAGTTGATGTATTTCCTCAGCGACCAGCACGGATCAGCTCCAGGCATGACGAAGCGGATATCGTCCTCTTTTGGAAGGCCAACCAAAGTAGTTTCGCTTTCACAACAAAACACACAGCATCTCCACAACATGGCGGCGGCGGCAACCACAATACTACAGCGAGAATAAACGTTACGCTTTCTTTCTTTGCGTGAACATTTGGGTGGTGTTATGCAAATCTCCCCACACAGTGACGTAGACATGTGGGGGCGTGTTTAAACGAGGCGTTTTAGGAGGGCGTGGACAAGTCTTAACTTTTATAAAGAATATCTCTTTGGATTTGATACTTTAGTCTTTGCAACTTTACAGATCTTTTTTATGCACCAAGAGCTTGTAACACTCCAAAGAGAAAGGAAAAATTTTAATCGTATCATATGACCCCTTTAACATATGTTGTCCAAATGTAAGATTGAATCAACTTTAAATTAAACTTTGATGGGGTGATATGTTGGAAACATAATAAACCCAACATTTTAATGTGGTTTCTAAAGGTTTCATTTTAGTAAATGGCTCATATTTATTTTTATTATATTATATTGACATTTTTTTTCTGAAGCCCGTTGTCTACACAAAAATATAGTGATGCTCTGAGGACTGCATTTGTCTTTGATTTGTAAATATGTAAACCTCTACTAAATCTTTTTCCTGTTTTGATTTCTCTCTGTCTCTTTCCTATCCAGTGCGGGCACAGCTGAGCATGGTCCACTGCTGAGTTAAGCTGTGGTGCACACACTGCAGAGAGGAGAGCAAGAGTGCTTTAACTGATCCTGTCTTCACACTTGTTTTGCACAAGACTGGCCTCCAAACATGTCTGCAGAAGTGGAAACCAGCACACCCCCGGTCGAGCAGGCACCTTTTAAGACACCCTCCAAAAAAGAAAAGAAGAAAGGTATGTGACAGGACAGGGGTCTTTACTTTGCACAGTGTCTTGCTTTGTATTTATACAGGCCAGACCTTGGGTTCGAATGGTTCAAATACTTTTAGATCAGTTTTGCCAATCATTGTCCAAAAGGCTGCAATATTTTTTTTCTCCATTTTACTTAATTAGTGGTTTCTCAGTGAAACCTCTCCATGATAAGAGGATATGTAATGTATTGTTTTAAGAAAGTACAAAAACTTAGTAGACGTCTTTGCTGACCTACTTGTATCTACTAGCACATCATTAGTGGTAAAGTGACTGTCCCGCTGAGATTTACTGTGAGTCTCTTGCTCCCAGCATCCACGTCCCCCGAGCACCTACAAAAACCATGCTTGATCCACAACAAACATTTAATGAACCTATTCTGAGGAAAAACTAAGCCCTCATAAGAGTTTTGAAACCTGAAAATACTTCCATTGTACTTGCCACCTCCCTAGATGAAAAGGCAGCTTGTTTGGAGAGCTGGTTAAGAAAACAATTTTGAGATTACATCCATGATTTATAGTTCAGTCTGGAATCCAAAGGATTTGCCATAATGTTCTCTGGCTGTACAGTTGGAAACAGATAAAAATTGATTTAACAGTTATGTAACCTAAATTCATCAGTTTATTAAAAAATAAACTTTCTTTGGAAGGTTTCAGTCATAATTTTTTGTTGTGCAATGATATGAATGAAAGCATGAAAGCAATGAAAGCACTTACTTAAGCATGGATGCGCTTTTTATTAGTTTCATAGAATATTGCTTTAAGCTTTCTGACTTTTTAATATTTTAATATATTTTGACTTCCTCATCTACAGATTTATTTTTATATGAATATATTACCTTTACCCTTTTTCTTCTAATCTTCTTTAGACTATAGAGCACGTTTAGAAACATTGTGCTTGTTTGCAGCCTAATTGCAATGGTAAAGTTGCAAACGCTGGTAGTACAAAATTCAAGCACCATGTTTTCTGTATTCTCATAACATTAGCATATTTTCAGCAAATTTTGGATATTAGATCAGACATTCCCTATTTAAACCTGATCTGAATCACTTTTTGGGTACTTAAATGCAAAGCTGATGCAGTAGTAGCATGATGATTATGCTATTATGTTTATGATCTAGTGATTACAGTTGACAAATGAAGGTCTTTCTGGTAAAATAAGGCCCTAGTTCCTCTCAAGAGGACTGTTTGAGTTCAACAAGTTCCTTGACATGTCGTGTAGCGCAGTGCAAAGTTGGCGAACAGCCACCTGCAGAAACCTAAAATCCTCCGTCCAGAGCTCCAGGGGCCTCTTTGCCCCAATATTTCTCTGGATTTATTTTTCTAAGCTGGAACCTGGTGCACAGTGGTATTGTTTGTCTTGCCTAGCTCATTCATACCAACAGAGCACACTAGTGATGGATTCCATTACAGTCCTGTTGCTGTTTCCACAATATCTTCCAGCTGTGACTGCAAGACACTCTCCAACATGACTATTTATGAGCCTTTTCCACAGGCATGAAAACAAGCTGAATGATTCCCACAGTCTCACGCTGAGGAGCCAGGGTGATGAGGTGCATCTGGGGTTGAAGGAGGTCTTTCATAGTCATGCTTTGGACATAGAAACAAAAATATATTGATGCAGCATCACGTTTGATCTTTCAGCCACATCATTATTGCGATTCATGTACAGGCCTATTTTTCTTACATATCTTTACGTTTTTTTGTAGATGGATATGTTTTTGGCCTTTAAGTCAACTCTTTGATTTAGACTGGCACACAAATGGCATAGTTCCCCTTCGGGAACTCGAGCTGCGTCGGAAAACGCTAGGGGAACGCCTTCAGCGATACCAAGCTCTGAATCATATGTGTAATCAGTCGAACGATGGGCGAGACGTCCGCGGCGGGTGACGTCATGACCAGGAAGCTTTAAAAGCACGTGAGGTGCCACCGGCGCTAGCTTTCTGTCATTCAGCGAAGCTCTCTGTGTGTGTCGGTCATGATTTATGTTCTGTGAGTCTTATTTATTGTTGTCTGTCCAAAGTCTATAAGCTCCAGCTATGTCTAAGCTCATGCAAGGACAAAGCATTTCAAGGCGAGAGCAGGCCACGTTGTAGGTTGTGTGTTCCTCCCTGCCCAAAGATAAAGTTATATCACGAGTGGGGACACACACAGCCTGTGCGTGGTATGCTTGCTAGCGAAGCATAGTTGTTACTGCCGAGGCCGAGGCCTCTGGCCAGAGAAGCTTAGGCTAAGTGGTGGATCAGGATGCTATTCCATAGCCTCGAGTCCTCTGATCTCCCCTCTCCTTTGGGGGTCAAGATTCACTCCTCCAGAAGTTGGCCTTCGGGATGGCGAGCCCCGCCTACTTTAGCCACTCCGGGCTCTTTTGTTCTCTTGCCATAGCCGTGCCCTTTCACACCAGGCAGGGATTTGCAAGTCTGGCGGCGTGGACATCTCGTTCCCCTAGCGTTTTCCGACGCAGCTCGAGTTCCCGAAGGGGAACGTCCCAGGTTACGTATGTAACCATGGTTCCCTGAGGGAACGAGACGCTGCGTCGCAAGGCCATACTTCCGGCATCCCTACTAGAGCTTGCTTCACTCCTAAGAAGCTAGCGCCAGTGGCACCTCACGTGCTTTTAAAGCTTCCTGGTCATGACGTCACCCGCCGCGGACGTCTCGCCCATCGTTCGACTGATTACACATATGATTCAGAGCTTGGTATCGCTGAAGGCGTTCCCCTAGCGTTTTCCGACGCAGCGTCTCGTTCCCTCGGGGAACCATGGTTACATACGTAACCTGGGACGTTTTCCTTCATGATCAGGCTCATTTGTGAGCAATAGGCCATTTTTCAGTATGTTTGTGATTTCTCTGCCCACCTCATCTCATGAGTTCTTTACCAGACAGACAAAAAACAACTGTCATCTTTAATAAACCCTTAATAATATAGCTAATATAGGTATCGGTATAGGTTATAGATGACCCTATAAATAATATGTGTTGGAGCTTGGACTGATCGCTCCTTAATAATGTTGTAAATAACCTTTTTAATGATAGTTTATTTTCATAAATATTAGTATATAGTATTAGTATAGTAGTATAATTAGTATTAGCTGAAAACATTAATAAATGACAGTTGACATGAATAAATAAACAGAAAATAGATCGGTTACACTTTACTTGAAGGGGTGTGCATAAGACTAACATGACACCTACATAATCATGGCATGACACATGTCATGAATATGAAGGTTTTTTATGCATGTTTATAACAACTGTCATTAAGTGTCATTCGCTCAGTTATGTAATTTTTAATGCAAAGATGACATTGTTTGAGATGTCTTTGTTATGGGCTATGGTTAGGGGTAAGGGTAGGGGTAGGGTTAGGTCAAATAATGTCATATTTGCATTAAAAATGACAACTGATGTCATAAACACGCATAACACCTCCTTCATATTCATCACATGTGTCATGTCATGATTATGAAGGTGTCATGTCAGTCTTATGCACACCCCTTCAAGTAAAGTGTTACCAATAGATCTTATGAAGGTTCCAGTGAAATATCTTCACAATCTTCTGTGATGCCTTTAGGTCCATTGTTATGTGTGCATTTTGGTGTAACTGAGTGGCAGTTTCTCTCTGCAGATGATGAGGTTGTGGGATGTGATGCATCTGAAATACACAACTGAGTTTAGAGTTACAATGTGTCTCATCCATTTGTTTATGTAAAAACAATTGTTTATGAAGGCCAAATGTAGCAAAAAATGGACAGTATGTGAGCCCTTCACAATGTTAAAAGGAAAAAGTCATGGAATAGTGTTAGTGTTTTTGTGACTGGGTATGTTTGTGGATAAACCCAAGTAATAATCTAACAATACGGATCATAAATTCAATATTTCTGTTACTTACTTAGAGAGAAGTATCCTCAACTGAATAGAGCTGCTCACACGTGCATATTCTAAAAAGAGGAAAAGACACGATTGGTAGGAAACCCAAAAGTTTAAAATTTATCGAAAGTTTAAGAAAGAAATCATTTACCTGTTGAGAGTGTGTTGACAGTCTGTGTAGTTGGATAGCTGGGCTCCAGAAAATCAGTAATGAAGTGCGTTGACACTTACAGATTTGGAAAAACAAAAAGGTGGCAATAAAGAACCCTAAACTCTTACACATACAATCATTTCAATGTAAAAGTGTTCTTCAGGATGATATTGTTCTAAATAGAACTGTTACTATATGTAAAGAACATTTAAATAACTATCTTTTTTAGTGTCTACTTAAAGCAAGCATTCATATTTTATGGGTATTATGTGTTCACGTTGGGTAGGGGGTTGTAGAGCAGAAACCTCAAGCCTGTAGAGTCCCTGCATGGGATGAATGTCAATGCTATCCCTCAGCTTGGCCACTGAAGGCATGAGGTCTGGGCCTCTGCCAGGCTGTTCTCTCAGTCTCTTTTTGTTTCTCTGTGTCTGGCTCACTCTCTCTTTCTCCGCCTCTGCCATCTCAGCAGCTCCACTGGCCAAAAGGGGACATCGCCACATAGTCAGCTGATTGGTTTTGAACTGAGACAGGGCAGACAGACAAAATAAAGCAAAAAGTCCAGAGAATCAAAAGGCAAGCAGAGTTAGATGATAGTGAAAAGACCCAATGAAGAGCTCACCGAGAAGAGGTGAGTTGCTTCCAAGGAAGAGAGACTGATATGAACTCGCAAACTAGCAATTAATGTGGCACATATCTAAAACAACACAATTTCAGAGCTAGAATTTGGCCAGACTGATATATTAAAACATGCATTGGGAGTAACCCCATAAAACGCCACGATCAGTATATCAGCGGCTTTCTGATGCATTTTTGAGTTCATTTTAATCAGCCTCCTTCAGATCTTTTTGCGCCATTGAGCAATCGCACATATTTTGATGAGCGTCTGGCTAACTTGCTGGCATTTCCAGTGATTGAGTAACATTCAGACTGAGATTCGGAGCTGCTAGAGATAACTCTGTCTCTCAGACAGCTGGTACCATCAGTTCCTTCCGAATGGCATCAATCAGTCCCAGCGACACCCGCAATTATGTCACTGAATCGTTTCTCATTCCACTAAGAATAGAGGATTTCATAAATGATTCTGCACTGCACAATTCCTGCCCATTTTAGAATGCTTTTGTTTTGAATGACAGCTGCATTTGTGATGAGCCGCTTTTGCCGACTGTAAACTGTAATCAGTTAATTACATGGAGCAGTATTTTAAAAAGGTTAAATGACAGGGGCTAGTCCTGCACTACAGAAAGGACACTTAATTAGTGGTTTCATGTATGAGTGAAGAACCTGCTTTTTTCCAGCTATTTTCAAAAGGATACACCTATTCAAGACTCAAGATTCAAGATCTACAGGTTTTTTTTCCAGTCTTCAGTATCACATGCACCTTCAGAAATCATTCTAATATGCTGATTTGGTGCTGAAGAAACATCTCTTATTATTATTATAGAAAACAGCTGTGCTGCTAAATATTTTTGGGAAACCATGATACGTTTATTTTTCCTGGATTCTGGACGATTAACAGAAAGTTCAAAAGAACAGCATTTATTGTCACTTTAGATCAATTTAATGCATCCTTGCTTTTGAATGGTAGTTATATTTGTACATTTATTAAAGGTGCCATAGAATGGAAAACTGTATTTACCTTGGCATAGTTGAATAATAACAGTTCTGTACATGGAAATGACATACCGTGAGCCTCAAACACCATTGTTTCCTCCTCCTTATGTAAATCGCCTGCATGCAAAAGACCACTGAAAAATAGGTGAATCAGAACATAACACCGACTGTGACGTTACAGTCGGGATCACTAATAGTTACGCCCCCAACATTTACATATACCCGCCCATGTTCTATGCCAGCCACCAGCCGAACCTGCACAGCCGAATCATCAGAAGTTCTGCAGGTATTGTGAAGAAACAAGCGAGGATAATAGCGAAAATGGCAGATCATGGAAATAAATGTTATGTTCCAGGCTGTGCAGGGGATGTGATGTGCATGGATGGGTTGGTGTCTGTATTCAGAAAGGCACGGAAAACAAATAACGCTCGTTCTAATAAAATAACGCGAGCTGCTAAAGGGACATGGTTAGCTGCTTGCTAGCGGTAGCCTGTTACATTACAGTACATAAGATTTCACTTACCACATAAACAGAGTAATGAGAGATGACTGAGGATGATGGCGAATGATTTACAGATCCTGAGCACCACTGACAAGCATCTGATCTTGTAAAATGTGTGGCAAGTACTGCAGCTGTAGTTTACACAGAGCACGTGCGATCGCAAATCTCGAAAGTGAAAGTAAAAATCAATCATGCATTCGAAAGCCGTTTCAATGCCCCGCAGCCATTGTTGAAACTGCATATTAATAGCGGCTCCCTGATGCCCGCATTTTATATACAGTATAATTAACCAACGATATGACTGCGAGAGACAGTATTGAAATATTGTATGTATTTTCCCTGTGTTTCCTTCCTGCTGTGTGAGCTACTGAAATAAGCCACACTGTGAAACAGCCAATCAGAGCAGAGCTCAACATAATTATTCATGACCCTTCCAAATAAGGTAAAAACAGACCATTTCATTCTAGGGACAAATCCTAGGGTTGTAAATGGACATGTAAAACCGTTTCTGGAGATTTTTTGCCCTTACCTAAGCCACATACCTTCTATGTAGATATCAGAGAACAATTTAAAATCTTGTATCAGTGCATTCTATGGCACCTTTAAAACATTTCATTTCTTTAAACAGGACCTGAAAAAAGATAATTGTGATTATTTACTTTATTAACATTTATTTTAATTATATTTTTAAAAGCAAAATCCATCCAAGTACTTTCTAGGGTATTCATATCTCTGGTTGGGAATTAACATAAGTACAGTATATAAGTCTAAATATCTGTTGTTTCTTCTCTCCAGAAGCATTTGATGTTATATATAGTATATACTGTATGTTCATGGTGATCTGGTGAACTGTTTTACTAAGCAATTTAATCATAAATCATTAACTTCTTTCTCCTTTAATACATGGCAACACACACTGTACTAATGATTGAATATTTCTAATTCTCACAATATTACATTTTATGTTTTAGATTAACATCTCTCTCTTTATCTCCTCTTCTCAGCTGCAGCAAGCCCAGAGAAAACAGATGAGTTCCTCTTAGCCAGGTTCAAAGGTAATGGAGTTCGCTACAAAGCCAAGTTGATTGGTGTAGATGATGTGCCTGAAGCAAGAGGAGACAAAATGAGCCAAGACTCCATGATAAAACTAAAGGTCAGTGAAAGGTCAAGCATATTTACTTTTTAGTACACATCTTAAGCGACTTCCATTAGCTTAAACTAATGACAGAGACACAGGACAAGATGGATTTATTTGTGGAAAACTTTCACATTGCATCTTGTTTTAAAGGGATGGTTGATTGCGATTTCACTTTTTTAAGGTTAGTTAGTGTGTAATGTTGCTGTTTGAGCATAAACAATATCTGCAAAGTTACGAAGCTGGTCTTTTAAAATTCTGGCAATTTAATGACTACAAAAACGGCTGGTAGGGACTACAACAAGTTACTTCCCGGGTTTGTGACATTTTCACATAGCTATGAGAAGCGTTATACATGGACGCGCGTGCAGTTGCCGTACTGTATTAAAGCTTTAATCAGGATAAAACCATATATTAAAAGCTAACATAAGCAGTAGCATTTACAAATAACAGCATATCTAAAAGTATGAGACAACAACAAACAAAAAACATAGACATACCATTAAAAGCTGTGCTTGCACAGGTTCTGCACGATGCTCTTCAATAATATCCTCTGCTTCTCAATCGGGCTCAAACTGATAAGCGATATTAACGATGCCGTTGTTTACAATACAACCGGAGCACATGCCGCTGAGGTGAGGGGCGGGACGCTTAGACGTGCACTAGAGGCGGTTTAGCCAATCACAACACACTGGACTAGCTAACCAATCAGAGCCCATCATCTATTTCTGAGGGCAGGGCTTCATAAAAACATGAAAAGATTAGCCTGTTTCTCAGAGAAGGGACAGAGTGGTGTGGAATAAAGGTAAATTATGTGAAAAATAATGTGTGTTTTTTTAAACGAAGCATTAACACATGTTAGACTGCACCCCATAAACACAATCAAGCCTAGAAAAAAAACAGTGAACCACCCCATTAAAGCTTTATAGAAAATAGTGCCTCAGTACCAGAGAGAAAACTGTGGAAAGGAAACATACCCTAAGATTTTTAGATTTGAGAAGAAAGAGACATCTGAAGGAACCATGTTTCTGCAGAAAGAATAATTGAGTCACCAAAACTTTTTCCAGTATTTTTGACATAAATATTACTGCGTAAAGTCATTTGTATGGCCTTTGTTGTTTGTTTAGCTTTTTAAGATATTTTAAGAGACAGAAAAATCCCATTTGTTTCCTACACAATTTATTTAGTAATCCAAATGGTTTGATGCATCCAGGATCAAGAAGTCAAAATGTTTTTTTTTTTTTTTTTTTAATTCTCAGCAAACATTGATTTGTCTTTTCTCTCTGTGATCACAGGGCAAGGCGGTGGCAGCTCGCTCTCAGGGCAAACACAAGCAGAGAGTCTGGGTGAACATTTCTCTCTCAGGAATCACTGTTACTGATGAGAAAACAGGGGTGCATTTCTTTCACTCACTCTTTCATTTATACTGACTAGTATAAACTGTTTAACTGAAATATCATTCGGTACTTCATATAAAGTATTCATTGTGATTTTGTTTGGACTTCTCCAGGCAGCAATACTGGAGCATGCGGTAAATAAGATCTCCTTCATCGCTCGGGATGTCACTGACAGCAGAGCGTTTGGCTATGTGTGCGGTGCGGAGGGCCAGCACCAGTTCTTTGCAATTAAAACTGCACAGCAGGTCCAGTGAGATTTTATTGAGCAAAGCTCTTTCCTCCCTCACACACTCATGCCTTAGGCACACATAGACAAACTTGGTCTCTCTTTTTTTGTAGCTCTTTTATTTAAAAAAAAAAAAAAAAAAAAACCTTCCCTCACTCAAAAACATTCACCCATAAACCTGCAGGAAACATGCCTTTTAACATGCTGTTTGTGTTTTCACTCAGGCAGAGCCTCTTGTCATTGACCTGAAGGATCTTTTCCAGTTAATCTTCAGTATGAAGAAAAAAGAAGTTGAGGGCTCAAAGAAGGTGCGGGAGCCCTTGAAATTATTTTTAGATGATTCTAGGATGATGAGAAATGTTTACACACATACAATGCAACAGGTTTTATACACTACTGTTCAAAATGTTGGGGTCAGGAGGACTTTAAAAAAAAAAAAGAAATGAATACTTTTATTAAGCAAGGATGCATTAAATTGATCAAAAGTTACAGTAAAGACATCTATAATGTTAAAGATTTCTATTTAGTTTGCATGATAGGACTAGGTGTTATGATCTCAATATTCAGCACCATTTAGCCGCACCATAGAACATTTTCTCCTTCGCTGTGAGCAGAACAATTGTTACGCTCTGATTTTGGTTCAGCAAGAATCCAGGATCATGGCCTAATCCATGTCCGTGGTTGTTGCCTCAATACCCAATAATCAGTCGTTAATTTACAATTGCTTTATGTGTGACTGGGAAACAATAAGAAAAAGGACTAGTATGGTAGTCCTTAAATGCTGTTCTTTTGAACTTTCTATTCATCAAAGAATATTATTCATCATTTATAATAATGAGAAATGTTTCTCAAGCAGAATATCCGCATATCAGAATGATTTCTGAAGGATCACGTGACACTGAAGACTGGAGTAATGGCTGCTGAAAATTCAGCTCTGTCATCTCAGGAATAAATTACATTTTAAAATATGTGACCCTGGACCACAAAACCAGTCATAAGGGTCAACTTTTCGAAATTGAGATTTATAAATCATCTGAAAGCTGAATAAATAAGCTCTCCGTTGATGTATGGTTTGTTATGATAGGATGATATTTGGCCGAGATACTACTATTTGAAAATCTGGAATCTGAGGGTGCAAAAAAAATCGAAATACTGAGAAAATCGCCTTTAAAGTTGTCCAAATTAAGTTCTTAGCAATGCATATTACTAATCAAAAATTAAGTTTTGATATGTTTACAGTAGGAAATTTACAAAATATCTTCATGGAACATTATCTTTACTTAATATACTAATGATTTTTGGCATAAAAGAAAAATCTATAATTTTGACCTATACAATGTATTTTTGGCTATTGCTACAAATATACCCCAGCGACTTAAGACTGGTTTTGTGCTCCAGGGTCACATATATTAACATAGAAAACAGATATTTTAAATTGTTATAATATCTCACATTAATACTGATTCTACTGTATTTTGATACAGTACAGTAAATAAATACAGCTTTGATGAGCATAAGAAACATCTTTCAGAAACATTAAAACATTTGACTAACCTCAAACTTTTGAAAGGTAGTGTATATCTAGTATACAAACTGAATTATAGTGTATAATATATTTCATCACAAACTGAATTACTCAAACATTTTTGAAGACTTTATGTAAATTTATAACACATTAGCTCATATCTAAACTTCATTATCTCACAGACATAAGAGGAAGACTGCAAACATTCCCATCTAGTGTGACTTTCTGTTAAGCTGTGCTTCAGTGTATTGTTTTGTGACCAACATTTTGGTCAACATCAAACCAAACAATATTTTTTGCCAGTGCAACGTGTATCTCAATTTCCATCAATCTTACCTCAACAGAATGGCAGTGAAGGCTCACACGATGACAGAAAAGTGAGTATGACCTATTGTGGTATGGTTTACATTCTCCAAATGGTCCTGTTCCTTGCAAAAGAACAGTGAAAGACTTTTGTTAGTTGCCTCCAACCTGAAGGCTTCCAGATGCCAGCAGAGTTAGCAGTAGAGTTGTATCTCTCTGGCCCAGATCCTAAAGCCCCCTGCTGGGTTGTCTTCATGTTGCTGTTCACCATTTGCACACAGCACCTAAACTAGTCTCCTCAGGGGGTGAAAGCTAATGAAGTTAGCAGACAGGAAATAACTGAGACGCATCTCATAGCAGCAGCTCTGGCCATTCTTTCTCCACTCCTTTCACTCACAGTCTTTGGAAAAAACACAATTCTCCTCATTCTCTTCACTGCTCATTTCCTCCCATTCATCTGCCCACATTATGAATAGCTGTTCTCTTAGGTGTTTTGGTTACTCTGACTCTGTTTGGCTTCCGTAATCTGGTCTGAATCTTGTTTTTCCTTTTGCAACTCTGTGTTGCAGGGAGTTGAACAGCTGGACTTGTTTGGAGACATGTCGACCCCACCTGACTTAAACTCTCCCTCGGTAAGACTGTTGGGCAAGAATGAGTCACACATACACATTCAGGCTTTTTTACTCCAATTTAGCTTATTAATGGTTTGTATTGACAGTGACACTCTGCTTTATTAATACAAAAAGATACACTAACATTATTAATGTTATTTCCACGGAAATCGTTAATACACCAGCTCATTTACCAGACCAAAGCAACATTATCCAAATGAGACATGACACTGTTTCAAAGAGACTAGTGGCATTCAGACAAGTCTCATATCCTGCTATAGTCCTTGTTTAGTCTCTGGTGCTTGATTGACTTCAAATGAAGAAAATGGCGTCATGGGGAGTTGAAGGCCTGGGTTCAGGCCAACGAAAATAACAAGCACGAAAAACTCAACAAGGATCAGTTGTTTGAAGACACTGCTCTTTAGAAGAGCTTTAAAGCCATATGAGGCTGTTTTTTCTTCAAAATGATGAATTCTTAGCCCCTTGAAAGTGTTAAATAGGTTACATGTAAAATATATGAGGTACAACAAAATGAATGAATCTTTCCATAGCCTGTCATCTTCTGCTTGGTGTTTACATTCATGGTGAACTTTTTATAAGTGGTGTTGATGCAGAGTTTGTTTTATTCTTCTAACACTGCAATCACTGTGAGAGAACAAGTTCAGGTAATGTGTGCATATACTAAGTTTATACATCCATTTTTAGTCATCCATTATTCAACCCGTGTTTTGTTGTCAAAAGGATGGTATATTGGGGAAAAAACACTTAAGTAAGGTTGCCGACTTCAATAGAGGAGGATAAGGGACAAAAGTATTTTAATTTCACCATTTACCATAAAAGAAATAAAGCTAGTAGTAGCTGCCCTCCCTTTTTTCCTTGATTCTTCCCTTATTGTCAAATGTAGCATTTCCCGTATTAGTGCTCTTAATTCACAACTCTGTGTTTTACATCCATCTTTAGCAATTTGTTTTCTACTTTACTCTGTCATTTTTAATATTAGCACTTGTATATCCCTTACCATTCAAAAGTTTGGGGTCAGTAAGATTTTTACTTATTAATACTTTTGTTTGGCAATTAAATTGGCCAAAACTGACAGTGAATACATTTCTAATCTTACAAAAGATTTCTATTTTAAATCAATTCTGTTCTTTTTAACTTTCTATTCATCAAAGAATCCTGAAAGAATAAATATATCACAGATTCCACAAAAATATTAAGCAACACACCCGTTTTCAACATTAATAATACAAAGAAATGTTTCTTGAGCACCAGATCAACATATTGGAATGATTTCTGAAGGATCATGTGGCACTGAAGACTGAAATAATGACTGTTGAAAATACAGCTTTGCCATCACAGGAACAAATTACATTTTAAAAACATATTGTAATAATATTTCACAATATTACTGTATTTGTGATCAGATAAATGCAGCATTGCTGAGATTTTCTTTCCCTCCTAAAAGCTTAGCAATCTTTTGAACGGTTGTGTAAAACTGATTCAAATGGGGGGGGGGAAATATTGTTCTTAACTGTGAGGGTGTAAGATGCTAAAAATGAAGGACAAACTGCATCCTGTGTGGATTTAAAATGAAATTATTTTCCCTTAAAGACAGAACAATTCTGTATCATACAGGATGGTTGGCAGCCGTACACTTATGTCATGAATACCCATCTTGTTTGCATTTCAGATTGATTGAACTACACAGCATCTACCTAAATAAGTTGTTTATTGTACTTCATGCATGACTTCATCTGTGCACCATACAAAAATACATTCATGTATTGTTGACTTTGTCTTATTTTTTGTCTTTCCTTATCCCCCAAATTGTCTTTCAGGAGTCTGAGGACATCCTATTGATGGATCTATCCACTGAGATAGACAGCAATCAGAACTGCGTTAAAGGAAACCCCTTCACCTCATCTTCTGTCCCCAGAGCCCCGTCCAGCCTCTCGCCTGAGAACCCCTTCTCTTCTCAACTCAACTTTTTCCCCACCCCTATCCATGACCCATTCAGTGATGACCCATTTTCCAAAAGCGACGACCAATCAATCAGGGACGATTCTGCCCTAGCCAACCACAGCCCTAATAACTTGTTCAATGGTGGCCCTAAGAATGGTGACTCTGACTACTTAGGCCAGCAGTTTGACCAGCTCTCCAACAGGACAGTCATCCATGCACTCAGTAATGGCCACTGGCCTTTAGATGGCAGAGCTGCGGAAGCCACTAGCTGGACTCAGAATACTGTCACAGTTCAAGAGCAGAACGGACATGGGAAAGTGATTCCTAATCCGTTTGTGGGAGGTTCGGAGAAGATGCAGCCAGTGCAGAATGGAGTGAATCATGAGAATGGAGGCATAGAGCCACCTGTCAATCAAACCAAGGATTCAGTCATTATAAGTCCTCCACCACTCAACATGAAAGCCGGGAGGGGCAGGAGGAGTGTAAAGGTGAGGTTGCAGTGATGGCGCTGTATTATTTCATGTTTTTTTAATTTTGATAATTAAAAGGCCTCTTGCACATTCTGCTTTACTTCTTAAAGGGGTCATATGATGCTTTTTTAAAGATCATTATTTTGTGTATTTGGTGTAACAGAATATGTTGATATGCTTTAATGTTCAAAAAACACATTATTTTTCAAATACTGTACATTATTGTAGGTCCTCTATGCCCTGCCTCTCTCAAACGCTTCGTTTTCTATAAAGTCCCTCCTTCCGACAAGCGCAGTCTGCTCTGATTGGCCAGCTGACCCAGTGCATTATGATTGGCCGAACACTGCAAGTACTCGTCGGAAATGTAACTTTCAAAATAAATGTAAAGACAGTAAATAATGTCATTAGTTTTACCATCAGTTCAAGCCCGAAAGGGGAACAGACACAGTTAATGATGCAGTACACAAGCCGCCTCCACAGCTGACTCTACTGTGATGTGACGCTGTCTCTCTCTCTCTCTCTCTCTC